GTTTTTTTTAATGATGCTTCATGTCTGGGTTGTGCTGCTGGTGCCACCCAGGAGTCCCAGGGGTGACTCTGCCATCTGAGAGACTTGAAACCCCCTGAAACATCAGGAACCACCTCCTTCTGCTCATGAAGCTCAGACAAGGCCATGGAGCTTGTTGGGTTGAGTCCAGAGGAGGCCACAGAGATGATGGGAGGGCTGGAGCAGCTCTGCTCTGGAGCCAGGCTGGGAGAGTTGGGGGGTTCAGCCTGGAGAAGAGAAGGCTCCAGGGAGACCTTAGAGCAGCTTCCAGTGCCTGAAGGGGCTCCAGGAAAGCTGGGGAGGGACTTGGGACAAGGGCAGGGAGGGAGAGGACAAGGGGGGATGGATGAAAAGTGGCAGAGGGAGATTGAGGTGAGACATGAGGAGGGAATTGTGGAGTGTGAGGGTGGTGAGAGCCTGGCCCAGGTTGCCCAGGGAAGCTGTGGCTGCCCCATCCCTGGCAGTGTTGAAGGGCAGGTTGGATGGGGCTTGGAGCAACCTGGGCTGGTGGGAGGTGTCCCTGCCCATGCAGGGGGTTGGGACTGGATGAGCTTGAAGGTCCCTTCCAACCCAAACCAGTCTGGGATTCTCTGACACCTGGGTGGGCAGTGCCTGCCACCAACTCCTCAGGTTTGCAACAGCTCCCACAAAAAAAGAGACCCCAGGAAGGTATCAGGAGCTCATGTCCTCTCTGACCCTCCCACCCCAGCTCACCCCAGGACTCACCAGCAGGCGAGTTCCCAAGTGAAGTGGCCCCACATCCTTGTCCCTGTGCCACACACGGGGGTCCCAGCCCTGACGAGACCCCCCCAGACCCTCCTGTGGAGACAAACCCTGCAGATGGTTCCTCACCCAGATGGCATCAAGGGGGGCAGAGACCCCTGAGGGTCTCCCAGCTTCTCCAGGCAGACACGGGCTCCAACATGGGGAAGGTGGTTGCCCCATCGACCCCCTTTCCCCAGGGATTTTCCCCTCCCTTCTTGCCCCGAGGGTGAGCACAGAGCAGAGCCCCAGCTCAGGGCTGTCTGCTGGAGGTGTCTCTCCCCATGGAGCCATCTCACCCCCCTCACCCCTCCTCTGCTGGCAGCCACCCTGCCCTCTGGCCTCCAAACAGTCTCCAAGTCCAGACAGGACCTGAATTTAGAACATTGTGGACAGCAAAGTGAAAAAGAAACCTCTCCAGCCTGGCCTGACCTGCTCTGCTGCCCCTTCCATGCAGGCTTCCCAGGCTGGGCTCCAGGATGTTCCCTCATCCCAGGTTCTCCAGTTCTTTGCCCAGGTTTCTGGCACATTGCTGGGGCACAAGCACAGGTCCCTGGTTTGCCCCCAGGAGGGTGTGAGGAGGAAGATGTCACATGTGATGTGTGGGACAGGGAGCCAGGACAGTGGAGTTGGGTTCCATGGGTGGGAGAGAGGCCATGGTGGCCTGTTCATGGTGTTTGTGCAGCCCTGAGGGAACTCCAGCCTTAGAAACCCTGGGGAGGAGGAGGAGGAAGGAGGAGGAAGGAGAAGGAAGGAAGGAGGAGGGAAGAGGAGGAAGGAGGAGGAAAGAGAAAGAAGGAGAAAGAAGGAGAAAGAAAGAGAAAGATGGAGAAAGAAGGAGAAAGAAGGAGAAGGAAGGAAAAAGAAGGAAGGAGAAGGAAGGGAGGAAGAAGGAAGGAGGAGGAAGGAAGGAGAAGAAAGGAAGAAGGAAGGAGAAGGAGGAAGGGAGGAGGAGAAAGAAGGAGGAAGGAGGAGGAGGAAGGGAGGAGAAAGAAGGGAAGGAGGAAGAAGGGAAGGAGGAAGAAGGAAGGAGGAGAAAGAAGGAGAAAGGAGGAGAAAGGAGGAGAAAGGAGGAGAAAGGAGGAGAAAGGAGGAGAAAGGAGGAGAAAGGAGGAGGAAGGAGGAAGAGGAAGGGAGAAGGAGGGAGACCCAAAAGAGTGGGAGAGCATGGACCAAGAGTAAACAGGCCAGAAGAACCTCCAGACTCTTCCAGTGCACAACATCAACCACAGGCTCAAAAGGGACCACCTGTCACCACCAGAAACAGGCAGCACCTGAAGTACCTGGAGATGCCACCTTAAACTCTGCTGCAAGTCCAGGTCTCTGGGAATGCAGCTGCTAAATGTTCCAGTGAGGATTCTTCTCCCTGGGTGACAGGGAGTGCAACAAACCAGACACCTCTGAGGGTCACAAGGGAGAGTTTTCTATCAAGATCTGCTAATTAATTAATGTCAAAATTAATCACATCCCTAAATTGGGGCATGAAATATGCTGAGAAGATGAGGGGATGAAAAAACAAGGTGGTTATTGCTGGTGTTTGCAACAGAAAGTGAGAACATTGTGCTCATTCCCAGGGAAAGAAAGGGAAGATGTTCCAGTGCTCAGGAAGGACAAGAGATTGGAGTAAAACACTTCATTTCAGATGACTTGTAGAATCCCACCCTGGAGGTAACACTGCCAGGAAGAATGAGAGGCCTCCAAGCTGGAAAAAGTGAGGGAAATTCCAGGTCTAAGCAGGGAAAGAAACCTGGTGTCCTGGAAAGCTGAGCCAGACAAATCTGGGGGGGCAGGACAAGGGCAGTGATAGAGTCATGGAAAGGTTGGGTTGGAAGGGACCTTCAAGATCATCCAGTCCCACCCCCTGCATGGGCAGGGACACCTCCCACCAGCCCAGGCTGCTCCAAGCCCCATCCAACCTGCCCTTCAACACTGCCAGGGATGGGGCAGCCACAGCTTCCCTGGGCAACCTGGGCCAGGCTCTCACCACCCTCACACTCCACAATTCCCTCCTCATGTCTCACCTCAATCTCCCTCTGCCAGTTTCCATCCATCCCCCCTTGTCCTCTCACATTAAAAGATGTATCAAGTTGAGAAGGAACCTGGACAGAAACAAGGTCGTCTTTGTTTTTTACCAGCCCTTGTAGATTTTTTATGAGGGTTTATCAAGCACAGATTCCTGGCTGATGTTGTGAGCAGATAGAAGAGCTGGAGAAATAAATCAGAAGGTGGAAAGGTACCTGTAAAATATGTGGAGAGGTGTGGCAGCCATGGGATCTCCTGAGATGGATTACTTGGAATTGGTGGAGAGATATCTGTGTTCAGGGACAATAATACTGAATAAAAATGGAATCATTCTTCTCAAATTAGACCCATCCTTCTCATTGAGATCTGGTGCTGCAGTTAATGGCCTGTCTGAAGTTAAGTCTATGAAAACTAGAAGGAAACCTTTGGAGACCTGCCAAACAAGCATTAACTTCTAAATACCCTGAGATGCCACACAAAGGTGAATTAGCTGTGATCTGATTTGGTTTCAGGAGAGGAAGAAGCTTTTCTGGGGCTGAAAATCTTGAGTCTGCTGGGAAGAGGGAAGAAAGAAAAGGAAAATAATGTCCAAGGGAAGGAGTTCCTGCCCATAGAGTCACAGGATCCCAGACTGGTTGGGTTGGAAGGGACCTTGAAGATCATCCAGTCCCAACCCCTGCATGGGCAGGGACACCTCCCACCAGCCCAGGTTGCTCCAAGCCCCATCCAACCTGCCCTTCAACACTGCCAGGGATGGGGCAGCCACAGCTTCTCCCTCAAGTTGAGTCTGTGTCCTCCAAAACCAGCTGGGTCATCTCCTGTCCTGCTTCCTCAGGAGCTGGATGCAGGCACTTGTCCACCAGGAGTCTGCAGCAACCTTGGTATGGATGTGCAACTTGTTGTCCAAGTCCTAACCAAGAGTGAACCCATCACCTCACTCTGAGAAAGCTGCTGAAGTTCAACATCTCACCCCAGGGCTGTGGACAATCCCACTGACACTCCAAGCAACTGACATGGACACTCACAAGAGGAGGAGGAACTGGCAATGACTCTTTAATCATGATGTTAGGGCACCTCCCTGCTCCCTGATTTGGATTTCCCAGCCCATGATCCATTCCCACCCCACCCAACCCCCCCAGAGTCACTTCCCATGAAGAGGAGGCAGCTGAGGAAAGACCTCTCACCACCACTTCCCAGCAGAAACCCATGTCCACATGGCAGCTGCAAACCCCCCAGCCCAGGACCCCCAGGGCTGCCACCCCCCTGAAGCCCAAACCCCCCCGGAGAAGCAACCAGCAGCTCTGTGACCTGCACCCTCTTTGCTCACCTCCCACACCACCTGAGCTACCAGAGGTGACATTTTACCCATTCTTGCATTTTATTGACTCATTTGCAGCCCATCTGGTGTCCATCCCCACCCCTGAGCACTGTCCTGGTGCCCTCCCTGCTCCCTCCTGTCCAGCCTTTCTCCTCCTCCCCAGCAGATGAACCTGAAATGCAGTTTTGTGCTGACACAATGAAAAGACCATCAGAAACAACAACATCTCCCCTGCAAAGCTGTGAATATATAAATATTAACACTGGCAGCAACTTCCCCCTCCACGAAACCAGCCTGGAGCTCCTGCCTGGTGATGCCCACCCCTCATCCTCACCCTGCTCCAAGCTGACAAAGAGCCACATGCCAAGTCCTGATTGTATTTGGTTTGGTAAAGTGCAACAGAAGGCTTCATGGTGCCACTTTGGACAGGAGATATTTGTGAACTAAGACCACCAGGCCTCAAAAGCACCTCTAAGATCTTCTAAGAGATGCTGAGAGGCCACCAGAGGATGAGAGTAGGTGGGAACTGGACCTGTCACATCTCCAATACCCACCTCTGTCCATCACTGGGCAACACCAGGGATCCAAACCAGCCTCTTTCAGCCATCATTCCAAAAAAAAACAACCAAAAAAAGGAGCCAACAGCTGCTGGTGTCTCAGCCCATTCAGGTTGGAACCCACCACACAGTTCAACACACCACACCTAAGGCAGATAAGATACTGGTCCAGTTGATGGCAGGGACTGGCATCACCAGGGCACACCAAGGAATTCTGCTGAAAAGGGTCCAATCCAGCCTCCTTCCCCCTCCAGGGTCCATGGCTGGTGCCAGTTCAGGGAGGGTGTTGCTGAAGAGGCAGCATGGGGAAGCCCTTGGGTGGGATTCTTCTCAGAGAACCTGCTCAGTGCTGGAGGAGGAAATGTCCAACAGCCTCCAGGCTGCGTAGGGGTTGAGCTCATCCTGGTCTCTGCAAAGGGCCCACACGTAGAGCATCCTCAGGACCTTGTCCTGGAAGGAAAAACCTGGAGTTAAAGAGTGGGCAGGATGGTCAAAGCCCTCCTAGATCCAAGCTGCTGGGAACCTGCTCCACAGCTCCTCCACAAACTGCTCTGGGGATTTGACTCTTAAGGTTCCAGGGCCTGAAGGGGCTCCAGGAAAGCTGGGGAGGGACTTGGGACAAGGGCAGGGAGGGAGAGGACAAGGGGGGATGGATGAAAAGTGGCAGAGGGAGGGTGAGGTGAGACATGAGGAGGGAATTGTGGAGTGTGAGGGTGGTGAGAGCCTGGCCCAGGCTGCCCAGGGAAGCTGTGGCTGCCCCATCCCTGGCAGTGTTGAAGGGCAGGTTGGATGGGGCTTGGAGCAACCTGGGCTGGTGGGAGGTGTCCCTGCCCATGCAGGGGGTTGGATCTAGATGATCTTCAAGGTCCCTTCCAACCCAAACCCTTCCATGATTCTAAGAGTCACTGCAGCTCCCTGGGACAAAATCTCTGCCTCTCCCAGGAGGTGACACTGCCCAGCAGGGCCAGGAGCCCAGACCTGCCTCAGTGTCACGGATCCACCCTGCAAAAACCAGAGGTTATTTGGATTTGCTCACTGAGCCATGAAGCACAGAGAGGGGAGTGTTTCCCTCAGATGAGAAGCATCACTGAGGGATCAGGCTGTGAGTTGGCTCAGCTCCCAGATGTGCACTTCACCACCAGGTTTCTGATGGACTCTGGGCACCTTTCTGGATGATAATTTATGCATCTCAACGTCAGGGGGGAGACTTTCTGTACCAGAGCAGTGATTAGAACACTAATGCTTTAGAAACACCACATATCATAAAGCTATTTTCTTTCTTGCTCAGTGTTTCAGAAGATTTCACTTGTCTCAGCTCTGCTGAGAAAGGCTAAAAGGGGAGTGAAAACTGGGAGTGGTGCAGATGTGTGGGATGGATCAGGAGGAACAGCAGAGGGGACAAGAGTTGGGAAACAACACAACCAGCCTGCTCAGGACAGCCTGGATCTTGCTGGAGTAGCCACAGTGATACAGGTCTCTCCTGAGCATCAAACACCAAGTACAAGCTGAAGAGGAAGCAGAAGGCCTGGAGAAATTCTGCCCCTATGGAGACAGGCTGGGAGAGTTGGGGGGGTCAGCCTGGAGAAGAGAAGGCTCCAGGGAGACCTTAGAGCAGCTTCCAGGGCCTGAAGGGGCTCCAGGAAAGCTGGGGAGGGACTTGGGACAAGGACAGGGAGGGAGAGGACAAGGGGGGATGGATGAAAAGTGGCAGAGGGAGATTGAGGTGAGACATGAGGAGGGAATTGTGGAGTGTGAGGGAGGTGAGAGCCTGGCCCAGGTTGCCCAGGGAAGCTGTGGCTGCCCCATCCCTGGCAGTGTTGAAGGGCAGGTTGGATGGGGCTTGGAGCAACCTGGGCTGGTGGGAGGTGTCCCTGCCCATGCAGGGTTGGATCTAGATGATCTTCAAGGTCCTTCCAACCCAAACCAGTCTGAGATTCTATGATATTCTCTCTATTCAGTCTCCCAAATCAGGCTCCTCTTCCTCTCCTAGAAGGTCACTTCTTCACTACCCCCCAGGAGCAGCTCAGCAGTTCCCACCAACCAGCCTGACATTTGATTAAAGCTGCATTTTTGCTCCCAAAGGAGAATTTTCATGCCTCTCCCTGATTTATTGCTGCTCCTGAGCAATCAGACAGCAAACAGACTTTGATATCCTGCTCAATAATGATCCCATCAATATCTATCTTCCAGGAATGCAGGCATTTAGTGCAAGAAATCACTGGATCAGCTCTTGCCCCCCCCTGAAGTCAACCTGACAGGCTGTAAATCAGCCCAGATGGGCCCCATCATTAAAATTAGTGCCTTGTTTTTTTAATTTTTGGGTAAGCTCACAGTCTGGGCTGAAGGGAAAGGTTGCAAAAAGCCAATATTTCTTAAATGCTTGTATTAATTTTAATGGAATTCTGCTGGAAACTGCCAGCTCCAGGCATCTGACAGTGTCCCTCTTTATGTATCATTAAGGGACTTAAATATTACACAGACACAAAGGAAGCCAGAGCTGTCTGGGGTGCACAGCACATGAGGATAAAGCTCTTCAGAAAGTGCCTCCTCCAGCTGCTGTGTCACCAACTGTGGTCACAGGGATGTTCTGTGGTCACATCTGACAGGCTCAGGTCAGCATCACTCACCACAGCCTCTCCACAAATCATCTCTTCCACATGCAGCATTTAAGACAACTGGATACAGGAGAAGTCATAGAATCCCAGACTGGTTTGGGTTGGAAGGGACCTTCAAGATCATCCAGTCCCACCCCCTGCATGGGCAGGGACACCTCCCACCAGCCCAGGTTGCTCCAAGCCCCATCCAACCTGCCCTTCAACACTGCCAGGGATGGGGCAGCCACAGCTTCCCTGGGCAACCTGGGCCAGGCTCTCACCACCCTCACACTCCACAATTCCCTCCTCATGTCTCCCCTCAATCTCCCTCTGCCAGTTTTCATCCATCCCCCCTTGTCCTCTCCCTCCCTGCCCTTGTCCCAAGTCCCTCCCCAGCTTTCCTGGAGCCCCTTCAGGCCCTGGAAGCTGCTCTAAGGTCTCCCTGGAGCCTTCTCTTCTCCAGGCTCAACACCCCAACTCTCCCAGCCCCTCAATTATGATCATTCTCAATGAATGGGCTCTAACACTTCGAGAGTCTGAGAGGAATGGAGAGCACCAGTCAGTTCAGTTTGTGGGGACACCCCTGACTCCAGGCACACCCCAGGAAATCCCTAAAACCCCAGGGAATCCCGGGAACATGTGGCACCACTTACCGGATCCCCTTCCACCACCTCCCCCTGCTGGTTCTTTATCACCATCACGACCTGAGCCTGGAAAGTGATGATCAACACTGGTCCCTGCTCCATCATCTTCCCCATGGCCAGCTGCAAAGGAGGAAAATGCCATTAGAAAACAGACCATTTCTGCAGATTCCTGGAAAATAATCCAGTATTTCATACAACTTCCAGGGTTGGACATTGCTAACAACCCCATCCTCTCCCTGAACTGCATTTTAACCCAATTCTACCTGCTCTGTTCATACAGATCTAACTGCAAATCATTTCCCACCCCCTCCCCCCCAAAAAAACCCCTCTCCCTGTACTGAAAAGCTTTCCCAAATCTGTTCTGCAAGTTTTCCTCATTTCTCCAAGTCTAAACATCTGGGAAACACAAGTTCTGTTCCATCAGTTCCAAATCAGAAACTAAAAATAAAAGACAAACCTGCTCTTAAAAAAAAAACCCAACGTTTTTCTGAGGAAACTGCATCAGTTTCAAGTGTTTTTTTCTTGCTTTTAAGTGAATATTTGACATGAAGTTGTACTGAACTAGATAAAAACTCAGGACCAGAAAGGCTTCAAGGTGAGAACCTTTTGATTGACAGGATTTGTTTCTCTAATCTAAGATGATTCCCTTAAATATCTGAAGAAGTGAAATGCAAAGAGGAAAGGAAAATTAAGTTTTGCTTCCTAAAATTGGACTCTTAAAAAAAACAACAACAAAACATGTTAGTAACTTGCTCTGGAGTAACTTTGAAGTTCCTGGCTGTGCTACCCAAAGAGGTAATCACACCATCTCATCATTAGTGGAGTGATTATATTCTTCTGTTTGACACTGTTCCAAAAACCTTGCATTTTATCCCATAATAAAATGGGATAAAGAATCATAATAAAGATAATAAAGAATCATGAAAGACCTCACAGCTTTTTGTCAGACCCTTTCCCACAGCAAAGGGTTTCTCTGCCATCATCAGGCAGAGAACATCATCAGGAACAGGACAACATGACTGGGACTGAGGGTTTCAAGAAGGTGGGTGACGCTGTGGGTGACTGGGCTGCATCCCTGAGAGGCACCAAGACTTCCAGACTGGAATTGCTTTGTTTTTCTAGTACTATGATCCCAAAAATCTTTGGACAAGGAGGGAGAGGACAAGGGGGATGGATGAAAAGTGGGAGAGGGAGATTGAGGTGAGACATGAGGAGGGAATTGTGGAGTGTGAGGGTGGTGAGAGCCTGGCCCAGGTTGCCCAGGGAAGCTGTGGCTGCCCCATCCCTGGCAGTGTTGAAGGGCAGGTTGGATGGGGCTTGGAGCAACCTGGGCTGGTGGGAGGTGTCCCTGCCCATGCAGGGGGTTGGATCTAGATGGTCTTTAAGGTCCCTTCACACCGAAACCATTCCCTGATTCTATGAATAAGACCGAGGTGTCCTGGCAGAGAGGGGACAAACCCCAAGGCTGTGATTTAGTCCTGGTGACACAGCAGTGAACTTGTCCCACCAGCTCCCCTTTCAGCAGGGTGATCTGCTCCTCTGCCAACAGAAAACCAAGCACCAGAGCAGCAGGAGGCAAAGAGGGGTCAGAGCAAAGAAGAAAACCCCTCCTCAGGTCCCAGGTTTCTAATTCATCCCCCACATTGAGATGCAGAACAGACCACTCACATCAATGTTGTCAATATCCAGGATCCTGGAGTGGAACTGGAGCCCCAGGGCTTTGGCTTGTTGGATTGGATGAGCCAGTTGGCTGAAAGTCTAAATGAAGCAACAAACTTGGTTACAGGTTTGAATTTGTTCTGTCACGGAGGGAAGAAAAAAAAAGGAGTCGCTGCTTAGTAAGAACCACCAAAATAGAACAATCCAAGCCATTCTTTCTGTTGCAAAACTGCTGAACAGGTGCCTGGCAAAGCATCAAACAGGCCCATCAAATTCCCTGGGCTTCACAGCAAAAAATTCTCCCCAAAAAATCCCACCTCCCCTGGCCAGAAGATCCACCCCTCCCAACCGAGCGTGTACCCGGAGCGCACCGAGGCCCTTTGTGCCTCTGACTTGACAGCAGACAAGGAGCACCAGCCTGGCCACCAAGATCTTCTCCTCCCACCCAGCCAGAGCCTGGAGGCAAACCAGCATTTCCTGGCTCCTCTTCCACACATGCACATATGCTCCATTATTTATGCACCAAGTGTTTGTTGTTGGGGATAGTGAATCTCTCTCCTCCTCACACTCCTGGCAGGGCCCAAGCACAGGAGGCACCACAACCACCCCCCACCCCAGCAAGGATCTTCTTACCTTCATCACAAGCATTTATATGTAAATAGTCTCCAGAACTCACTACAAAGTGACTAGAGGGAAGCTGGAGTCCTGAGGACAGAGACACAACCTCTAAGCCTGTTCCTCTACCTGCCACTGGAATCATTTCTTGCTTTACTGGTTTTATTCCAACACTTCACTGACCAGTATCACACACTTCCCACCTGATCCCACCCAAGGGTTTTTACCTCCTGGATTCACATGAGCAGCCACTTTCATTTTCTTCCCCTGCCTTATTTTACAGATTGTTCTGGATTGAGGAGCTTCATTTATAACTCCAACTAGGTGAGAAGGGTTTGCTTTTTGTTTGAGAAAATGAAGTGAATCTGCTGCTTCCCTCTCATGACTGGAGAGGAATTAGATGGTGTCATTTCCCACTGGATGGGGCTTGGAGCAACCTGGGCTGGTGGGAGGTGTTCCTGCCCATCCAGGTGGTTGGAACTGGATGATTTTTAAGGTCCCTTCACACCCAAACCAGCCCATGATTCTATGATTTTGGAGCAGAGTGAAAAGCAGAACAAACATCCATCCATGTTGCCAGGAAAGGATCTGCCTTCATTAATTAAGTGGACAATAATACAATAATGGAATGACATCCAATTCATATTCCCTGTTTCAAGTGGATTCAATCCTAAAAACCTATTCCAGTAAAAAAAAACAACAACCCCACCCCATTTTTGTACAACAAACCAAAACCCAATGTTGTGCAGTGAGACTGTCCAGGCTGCAGAACCAGCTTTGGATCTGCCAGGATTATTTTGGGGGACACTGCAGTAGAAGCTCCAGGGACAACTCAAGTCCATAAACAGAAAAGCTTCACTGTTTTGGGGTGAGCTCAGATGTCTCTGCACCATCTCACCCCATATCTGCTTCCACTAAAGCCCATCCAAACCATCCCACAAATCCAGTGTGGTTTAGAGCATGAAGATGTTGGGTGGGGAAGCAGGTAAGAAACATCTTAATACAACGGCAGGACAAGGCCAAGAAAGCACAAAATACCCCATTCCAGGGGAAAATCATCACCTTTCCAGATGTTTTGAGTAGCTCTACTTACTGCTTCATAGCACCAATCTTTGAGGATATCAAGCTCTCCAGACATCAGGGCCTAGAAGAGAAAAATCAAATGAAAGATGAACATTTGAAAGCACATCCTAGATGAGAGTTGAAATGCTCAGCACTTCCAGCAGTAAAATTCCTTGAAATCTTCCAGTTTGTGAAACCCTGAAGAAAGGGAAGAGCTTCAAAGCAGTAAAGCAGTAAGAACACTGAGCCAGATGTACATTAATCATCTGGTAATTCAAAATAAAACCTATCTTAAACCTTCTTGTCCAAAAACTCAGCAGAATACACCCTGCCCAGATACCCTGGGAGGTGGGATCTCCCAGGACTACAAACCAGGAGGAGATCTACAAGCTTTCAGGTCTGTGAAAAAGTCAAGAGCACAAAAATGAGCAGAAGGATCATGCTGCAACACCTGGCAAGCTTTCTCTTTCAAGCACTGTGTAATAAACACCTGGAAGTCCTAACCAGCCAGATGCTGGGAATGTAGAAGGCTTCAAAATCAAGTCACTTCACACCTGGCAGGGTGTTTTGCAACAGAAATGCCTATAAATCTTCATGCTTGGTGGCAGCTGGAAGGTGGCTGTTATAGTTGGAAAAAAAAACACACCTCTCCTTTGAAAAATTGATTCTCTGAGAGTCCAGAGCCCATTTTTTGCAGCTGGTTTTAGTGACAGGGCACCTTTGGGAAGGCAGATTCACCATGACAGCTCTTATTTCACTGCCAACTCAACAGTTCCAGCCACACATCTGACAAACAAGTCAGTCACCCAAGGCAGCAGTGACAAAACCCAACCCTGCAGCAGTGGGAATGAATCTGTGAGCATCACATCAGTTTTTATTCACCCTAAAATGCTCCCTCCTGCCTAGGGTAGCAGAAATATCTCCCCATGTGTATAAGCAGAGGTGGATTTGAGATGTGATCACTCACTGCACTGGTTTGTGGGGTGAGGAAATAACACTCTGCTCTCTCTCAGCATTTATCTCTTCAAGCCTTGGTGTTCCCAGGCTCATTCCAATCTCTCAGAACAATCTCTTCTGTCTTTCTTCCAATCCCCTGCTTCCACTCTGTCTTTTCTGACATCCTGTCACAGTGAGAGGAGCTCTATCCATTTATCCTGGAGATCACATCCCTCACCAGTGCTGTCCTTTGAGTGGTTTTATACTTTAGTCTCTAAAAACATTAAGTTCCACATACTCCCCTGACTAGTGCCAGAAATACTTTCACTTAACCATTTGTCATGATCTGGTGTTCTTCCCAAGCAGTTACAGGCCATTTAGAAGCCAGTAGAACAGAGTACATTCCTTCCCTTATCAATATTTGATATCATCATTTGCCCAGTACTGTTCCTTCACCTACTGCAGTTTGATCCCTCTGAAGCTCCCAGTGCCTGAAGGGGCTCCAGGAAAGCTGGGGAGGGACTTGGGACAAGGGCAGGGAGGGAGAGGACAAGGGGGGATGGATGAAAAGTGGCAGAGGGAGATTGAGGTGAGACATGAGGAGGGAATTGTGGAGTGTGAGGGTGGTGAGAGCCTGGCCCAGGTTGCCCAGGGAAGCTGTGGCTGCCCCATCCCTGGCAGTGTTGAAGGGCAGGTTGGATGGGGCTTGGAGCAACCTGGGCTGGTGGGAGGTGTCCCTGCCCATGCAGGGGGTTGGAACTAGATGATCTTGAAGGTCCTTCCAACCCAAACCAATCTGAGATTCTATGCTTATATCAATCCTCATGGGAGAGAACTGTTAGTTTGCTTTTGAGGCCAGAAAAAAAGAGCTGATCTATTAAACCCTGAAATGTGGCTTCAACCCACATTGTTCTGTGGGATCCAACTTCTTTTGCCCCGAGTTATCTCAGGTTCTGTGCAAAGCTGGATGCCTGAGGAGCAAATACTGTCCCATCTTTTCATTTTAACATTGGAAAAGTGAGAGAACAATCTGGTTATCAGAAAAGGAAACAATAATACAAATGCATTGTACCCTATCCCACCCCCTTTTACCTCCAAGACATTGGGGATGATGTCCCGCTCACACTGCTTCAAAAACCGGTCTTTGTCAAAGGATGGGTCCACCTTGAGTATCTCTGTCAGAACTTCAGACATTTCTGTCTTTGAGAACAATCCACCTAAGGAAAAGATTCCCTGAGACAGTGGCAAAAGCAGCTGTCACCAGAAAACAAGAGGAAGACCTCTGGGGGATCCATCAGAAGGAAGGAGGAGTCACCCGGGAACAACCAAGACTTGGGTGTCACCCAAGCACTTGTCGCTGCACTTTTCAGCCACTGAATAATGATCCAGGCAAAGTAACAAAGCTCCAGGATCTGTCCCAAAGGTCAGTGACAGGAAGGACAACCAGCATTGCCAGTTCTTAGGACCCAGGGTGAAAACTCACCTATTAAGTCGGTGACTTTGTCTGTGACAGCCCTGGAGGCGCGGATGAAGGCGTTGTCGCTCTCATCATACTTCATCTTCATCTCAAAGAACCCTGGAGGGACAGGAGAGGAGAGAGCTGAGCAGCACTGCCCTCCCTCCCCCCACACCCCTGAACCAGGGAACAACGGGTGGCAGATCAAACCTGCCAGATCTCTAGGTTGTTTAACAAAGTTTCAACTCCAACAGCTCCTTTTTTCCTCATCTTCCCGCAATGTCCGGAACTGCCGGTCACTGTCACCAGGGGAATGAGTGTTTCTCTGAGTTCAGCTGCCAGAAACTCTGGACCATCTATGTCTATTTCCAGACAGAAAATGGACTAGACTTGCTTACATCAGGAACAGCCTGATCACAGCCCTTGATTCCTCCCTGGGGAGGGACTTTGGACATGAAGCTCCTGGAGAGAGTCCAGAGGAGGCCACAGAGGTGATCCAAGGCCTGGAGCAGCTCCGCTCTGGAGCCAGGCTGGGAGTGTTGGGGGGTTCAGCCTGGAGAAGAGAAGGCTCCAGGGAGACCTTAGAGCACCTTCCAGGGCCTGAAAGGGCTCCAGGAAAGCTGGGGAGGGACTTGGGACAAGGGCAGGGAGGGAGAGGACAAGGGGGGATGGATGAAAACTGACAGAGGGAGATTGAGGTGAGACATGAGGAGGGAATTGTGGAGTGTGAGGGTGGTGAGAGCCTGGCCCAGGTTGCCCAGGGAAGCTGTGGCTGCCCCATCCCTGGCAGTGTTGAAGGGCAGGTTGGATGGGGCTTGGAGCA